CAAGCCGGAATACACCATTTTAGGAACTGGAAATGTGCACTGTCTAACAGCTACATCAAGCCGGAATACACCATTTTAGGAACTGGAAATGTGCACTGTCTAACAGCTACATCAAGGAGGAATACACCATTTAGGAACTGGAAATGTGCACTGTCTAACAGCTACATCAAGAAGGAATACACCAGTTTAGGAACTGGAAATGTGCACTGTCTAACAGCTATAGCAAGTATTTATCTTCATGTTGGAAATAGGTTGCAAGTTCTATTATCTTGGAAATTGTCAGATGAGTGTGTTCCATAAGAGCTATATCATTTTCAAGTCATTAGCAGAGTTTATAGTGTTTAAAGGATTGGTACACATTAGAGAATTGGCTGGATACATCAAAATTGATCATTTAGTCCTGTAAAGTTATCAAGGTTGCTTTTATTAATGTTGAAAATCTGGACTGTTTTTTGTTTGTTTTTTTATATGTGAGGATGTTTTACTAGATAATGTTTACATATCTGCAAGATATGTAGTAAAGGGGCAGTATTTGGACTATGGAACAGAGAGGGTAGCCTTGCTTGAGAACTTAGGAAGATCACTGACTTGTTGGGTGATCCTGTTATGTACTGTTAGGAGGAAAATTACAGATACAGCTATATTTTCCTATATCAAATGTCTCTCTGAAAACATAAAAAGGATGTGTAAACAACATAAAGTCAGAAAAGTATTCAGAAGATACAACACAAACACGGTCCTTCTCATAACCTACCTGAAAACAGCAGCAGATCAGCAATTGAATGGTAAGATATAAATTAATTAGTTGTCAGTATCTAGTTAGTAATTGTATAGGGAACAAATCATGACAATGACTGACACAGTATTCAATGATCATAACCTTATTGTAAGTATCATAACACATTTTTTGATAAAATAAACGAATATCAACTTACCAACCGTAACAAGAAAATATATATATATATATATTAATTAACAAAACAAGCCTTAACAACTAAAACAGAAAACTACAAAAAAAAATTAAAAACATTGCATGAATTAAAAAGATCACCAAGGCACATTTTACATCCCACGTTATAGCTTGTGCCCTTGTGATCTTTTTCATTTATGCAACGTTTTTGTTGTAGTTCTTGTTTTGATAATTTTAATATTTTTTATCACATCTTTTGGCTTGCTGTTTTTAATCTAGTCCTTTCTTTTAATGTTAATATTTATTTAAATGTTAGAATAATTTTTGTACATATATATGTGTATAGAATATCAATACTCAAACAGCCAAGCAATGCAAAATCAAAAGGAAGGTCTGCGTTAAAAACAGCAAATCCATAACTGTGATGAATGACATCCAAATGAACAAAAACAAGCCCAAACAGAAATCAAATCAAAGACACTGCACAAATTAAGATGATCCCCAGGGTACAGGCTATAATGTGGGACATAAAATGTACCCTGGGCTTTGGAGGTGACTGTGGAAGTAGGACTCACATTGTGGTGGGGATACACCGTCTATCAGTCTTAACCTCCATTCGCCAGTTTCACTTGAAGAAATTCAAAAAATAAATATAAGCAAATGAAGTAGAAATTAGGAGAGCGAGATGTGGGCATTCGTTCGCATAAAAGTAATGCCAAGTTGTTGAAATGACATTATTAAAACTGAAAATACTTATTGGAAACTATCAGCAAAATCTCCCTAATGTTTACTTCTTTATATTTATTTAACATGTTCTTACACTTATCACAGAATATTTTTAATAAATTTATTCAGTTTCTTTATAAAATCAATTGAATATTAATTTTTGCATTAGTATTTCAACATTAATAGTGAATTATAATTTATTACAGATTTTACAAAATCTGAATAATTGTAAAGATGCAATACTTATAACAGAAGAGTATGGTACATTACTGTTAAAACAGGATAAGTCGTATATTATGAAGATATAATACTTATAACAGAAGAGTATGGTACATTACTGTTAAAACAGGATAAGTCGTATATTATGAAGATATA